TAATCTGTTAATTTGAAGGAAAAAAACAATATGGAAAAATGGAAAATGATAAGTTTCATAGATTACTTTTAATTCTTTAAGATGATTCTAGTTTATGATTGTGTATTGCATTCATTTTTACCTTATAAACAAGAAAACAACGAGATTACTTCTTGGTTTCGAAACTGCACAATATGCCAAATCAATAGTTACTAATTATTTAGATATGCACATACATGTGTTATTATCAATATTTGTAGTACAGATGTACAATAAAGTTTAGAAAAGCATAGTTGTTTATGTTCAAAGATGTAGTTGATCATAGATTGACATATCTTGGATAGCTTCAGAGATCGACAGGTATTCATTTTTCTGCATTGCACCACACTTATCATCAACTTCAGAAATTCCATCGTATGTCTTACTCTCAAAACCCCTATTTATTTCATTTACATAAACATCTACAGTGTTCTTTGAAGTGTTCTTTTCGCTCAATATATTTGGTGGCAGGTTCTTCTGGTTATCCTCTCTTCTAAATACAACAGTTTTTTTTGTTATCTACAAAAGAACAATCCAAAAATAATACGTAGAATTATGAAAACAATAATGTTAAAAGATATACATGAATTCAAGAGAATGAAGCGATTGCAAAGTAACTGATTGACAGGCATATGGCTGTAACTAACGGATAGAGAGGAATTTCGTTGAGATCATATGTTGTTAAGGAATACGATATAACTTGATGTGAGGCAGTTTACGCTTTATAAAACGCGAAAGCGAGGCGGATTAAAAAAAACGTAAGCTGCCCCAAAATATGTTATATCGTACAACATAAGTTGAAATTAGCTTCATTCCGTAACTGAAAAAATACCTGTCGTTCATTTTTTTTTCATATTTTGTATGTCTCTTATTAAGTATGTCCCACATACCTTAAAACAGATATATCAATAGGTTTCTAGACTTACTTTTGTGATATTGAGTATTGAGTGACAAATACGAAGCCCTGCAGTGTCTAAGTGAAGTTATGATTCTCCGTGTTTCTGGGCTCATTACTCGGTCGATAATTGATTTTTTTTAGCATAGATAAAAAATGTGTCAGCGAAGATGTGTCATTTAAAATATTTCAGAGTATGAATATGGTTAAAAATTCGAAGAAAAAACAAGATTTTTCTGTCACACCGCATCTGGAGACGGAAAGTTATGTACTTTTCTTAGACAACTTAAACAACAAAAAAAAAATATTTGCAAAAAATCCCATCATTCAATATTTGAAAATTTACGTCGAAATGCAAGTTCGTCGTGTTATTGATAAACTGTACAAATATCGATTGGTAAAGCTGAGCTCAATATTGTACAGGGTACAATTAAACAAGACATAAGCATGAGAAAAGTGTCATATTTACATTTTTCGTACGGAAAAACCAAACTATGACGTCACACATTTGCAAATAAGCGAAATAAGACACAACTACAAAATATATCCGTCAATAACCATGGAAAAATATTTTTGTGTTCTGTAATTCACAAAATACCCCACCATGTACTGATTATCACCCGTTTTTATGATATTATACGACCCGTGTTTTACTGTGTATAATCTTACAGTACTATGAGATCAACTATGACGTCAACGACTCGCTGGACGCGCAGTGTAGGGAAATAGAAGAGTGAATCAACCTATTCCGTAATCTGATAATATTTGCAAGAAAGTGTGAATGTTTTTAAATATTTTATAAAAGATGTTGAAATCAAACAAACAGTCTTTCTTTTTTATAAATACTGTAGTTTCAATCTGTTTTGTACATATTTTATAAGAGATTATGACGTAATTAAACTCATGTGACCATACATCCTCACAACGAGTGAAAAAATTCTCGAAAGAGGTATTAAACAACAAACAAACATACTATTAATATTATATGCAGTGCATTGTCCCTATGAATAAAACATTTAATTTATGGTTTTGTGAATAAATGAACATAAAAAGGATATAATTTTGACTTTACCGTTTTCCTTTGAATGTATTTTTTGCTTTTTGTAAGCAAGTCTTTTTCTCCTGGAAAGAAGGGGAGATAAATAACAATTCGATTTAAAAACAAAATCACTAAAAATGATTTTAAAGTAAGAAACGTTACTGTGAAGGGAATGTAATGGTGTACAATTTACGGAATATAATGTGAAACTGATTCGTATAAAATCTGACATACATGTAGTGTGCTGAGGCAGATATGTAAAGTTAGCTTTTAGTTAAGGAAAGGATTGCACGGGTCCCTGAAAAGGTTCTGCCCAATGAATTTTTCTCATTTCTACATATAATGTTCCTAATGTCAATAATACCATTATATCAAAGTATCAAGCATGGTCATCAGGCTTATAAGGAAGTTATGGTTGCCATGGTAACCACCATTTTTTAATCTTTTGATATTTATGAGGTGAATGTTTTATAATGCCAAACACGCAACAAAAATAAAGCAAATTTAATATTGTCCTGCAGATATTTAATAATATGCTTTATATTTATTGAAAATAAAAATTGTTTCGGAAACTATTGATAAATGTAGTAATGCCATTGTTTTTTGGGGAAGAATTAATTGTAAATTTGCAGTAATATTTTCACCTGAATAGCAGTTATTAACGTCTAGACAAAAAATTATCCAATGAATTTACCCGAAACTAATATGTGCTGTACTAGTCATTACAAGTGACTTATGGTTAAAATATGAAGTAAGGTTATCAGATTAATTTTGAAGCTACACGCATTTTCGTACCCCCCCCCCCTCCTAGAATATTAAAAGACTTCACAGATTTTCATATGATGGTTTGTCGTTGGACCTTAAATATGCATAATCTGTTTAAAGACAATAAAGGCCATATGTATAGATAAATAATACTCTGTGTCTGAAAATCTGGCAGCTGATGCTCATTTTATATGTGAAGCACAATGATTTACTTATCACCGACAGTGGTCACGAAAATAACTTGTATTTTTTTTTTCAAACTCAGTTTTTCATCTCCTAAACATTCATTTTGTTACTATATCAGAATATATAAATAATATAATATAAACCAGTGCACAGTCCTCAAAGGCCTTATTCTTCATGCTTTGAACACTCAGCGATGTTTCTTCTTAGTGACCTGGAATCGGGGGGGGGGGGGGTGTCAGACATTTGAACACACTGAATGAAAAGAGGTTATTTTATAAATCTTGTAACTGCATTATATTTTTTTTAAAATAAATATATTCATCCATAAATAATCTTATTGGCCAAATTATAATAATTCTAAATATTCACATTCATTTACAAATAGATTTAACTTTTCCTTCCGATTCTTTTGAAGTAATTAGATGTCTACACTTTATTTTCTCCTGCAAATGCATGAGCGCTATCTCCATTGTGACGTCATAATGACACAATTGACGTCAAAACTATAGATTTATTTTGATTCAAAAATAATCATTGATTGAAATAACTTTCCGTCGCTTTATGATATATGCTGGAGTGAGACATCTCTGCTCATGTCCATGTGATTAAAAAAAAAATCATTTTTCAAATGTATTCCCATAAGCATGATGCGTTCACATGTTTCTTTTATTTATTTATATACATATATCTTCCCTGGTATTCTTTCAGAAGAAGTGTGTTGTGTTTCGATACAACGCATAAAACATTTTACAACAATCGTTTACAATATATGTGCGACGATGATTGAATGTTTACACGGTCGATGTCACTGCTGAAAATGCTAAAGATCTTATAGGAGAAAACAAAATCCTCTGCGATATTTTTAAAAGATATGTCTTCGAGGCATTTATAAGTGGTCTTCGTCGTAACACGTTTATCAAAATCGCCTTCGTTCATCAATATTTATACATGTATCTAGTAAATCACGCCGTCTGAATCTCTTATTGGGAATTATCTATACATAGATGTAGATCCTATGATAAACAACAATCTTAAATAAAATTCTAATTTTAAAATGAAGATATAAACCTCAAAATATAAATCAAATTTATTTTTAATGAAATAGGTTTCAATGTTCAGAGTCCCAGTCCCAGTCCCAGTGCATTGTAACAATCTTTAATATCTTATACTTTCTCTACTTTAGAAAAATAAAGCCCTTTTGTCATGAGCACAAACATATGACGCTCCTTATTCCGGAAATAGTTACAGCAAACATTCTTTTTTATTCACCAAATGACGTGATAACGTGACGCCGTGCAATCGCGTCCTTAAGCGCTATATCTACATGATTAGAAGAAGTGAATTAGAGTAGTTTTTAGCAATTAGCTACTTGCAAGTAACTACGACAAATAGGCAAAGTAAGCTACTTGTTACATCTACTGGCTACTACATGTACTTTCGACCAATCTTAGAAGTCAGTTACAGATGTACTGGTAGTGTTTTACTCACATGCCGAAGCAAGTTACAAATAGCTTTATTCACATCTTATGCCAGTTACTACATGTAGTAGCTAACTTTACCCACTCGTCCTATATCGCAAATCACTATTAGCCAGTTACTAGAAACCAAATAGTAGTAGATACAGTTACTTTTTTACTAGTAGCTAACTTTATCCACTCTTCTTATATAGCAAATTACTACTAGCCAGTTAGTAGAAGCCAAATAGTGGAAGCTACAGTTACTATTTTACTAGTAGCTAATAACTTTACCCAACTGTCATATTCAGTAACTACTACTCAGTGACTATTAGCTACATATTCAATTCAATATATCTTGTAAAAAAAATTCTAAATGCGACTTTTGCTAATTCGGACACAATTTAAAAAAAATTCTTATTTAAATGACAACCATTTCAATTAACTTGTAAAGCTATTTACACATGTACTTACACGACAAGTAACCAGGAAAAAAACAACTTACATGTAGTATGTTATTTAAATTGCCGTAAAAAAAAACTCTGACATTTAAAGAGATAACTCTTTACTTATACGATTTTTTTATCCCCTTCAAATAAATTCAAGCATTACCTGTTATATATTACAATAGCGAAGACAATACCAAAAACAAGAATAACAACAGAAGATCCAACACCTGCTCCAAGACCGACTGAAGTAGGATCCAATGCGCCACTGCTCTTTAGATCTGAAATATACATAATAGGCATTCAATGTTTTGTTACTAGATCTGACATTAAGTATACAAATGAGAGAGATGAATTTTTTTTTAATAATTTATTCTGACAAGTGAAATATTTATATAATATATTTATTTACAAACATTTGATTGCAGTCATTGAGAACTATTTCTTACCTGTGCATGTATCCCCTTTCCATCCATTTGCGCAACTACAGTTTCCATTAATCCGTGCACACCTCTTGGAAAGACATCCTGATCCACAATTTTCGTGACAATGTGTGCCAAACTTTCCGTCAACGCAGCCATTATCACAATACCCTGTTACTCTGTTGCATCCATTATAACAACCGGGGTTACAATGTTCATTGCAAGTCTCCTTGAAGAATCCCGTTTCACACCCATTGGTGCATGCTCTTGTGACATTATTGCACAACTGTCCTTTGCAGTTGATACTGCACTTCTCAGAACAATTACGGCCAAAGTGTGAATCATTGCATTCTGTGGTTATCAATATTCATGTATGTTTTTCATGTATAATACTTAGGTTGGTTAATATTACACTTATTTAATATAAAAAGAAAATATCGAAAAACAATTATAAACAGACATTGTGCAGGCACGTAGCATCGTTTTTGAAAGTGGGGGGGCCAACCTGAGAAAATTTTTTTTTACTTACCTGAAAAAGTTGACAAGCAAAAAAAAAATAAAAAAAAATAAACGAAATATTAAAAGTTGCCCCAATTCGAAAATCCTATTTCGGGGGGGGGGGGGGGGGGTGGCTAACTTTTCTCATGACCAACTATCTTTCAATTCAAACTTTTTGGGGTACATTTTCTTTATAACACTACACTGTGCTGAAATGTGGGGGGGGCAACCTTCCTTTCAGTAAACATTTTCTATAGTAAAGGTAATGTCGGGAGAAAAAGTGGGGGGCAGGCCCCCCCCCCCCCCCCCCCCCCCCCCCCCCTGATACTACGTGCCTGTTGTGGCAAGAAATAAACTGACATTAAAAAGGGGTTTCACAAATATCATTACTATATCTGCAGTTTTTAAAAATATCGCTTCAATGTTTTCATACAACAATTTGAAAGTGAACATCTTATTACAGTACGATTTATCTGAAACCTACACAAACTTACTGTTACAAAAGTCTCCTGTCCAGTTTGATTTACATTTATTATAACAATCTCCAGTATGGAAATCGCAAGTATTAATTTTACAAAGTGGACTGCACGTCTGATTACAAAATGGACCTTAGAAGCCATTTATACATCCAGTGCAAGCACCAGAAAATCGATTAAATTAAAATTAAAATTGAAATTAATTAAGACGTAATAATAGACCTAACAGAGGTAACTTATTCACTAGATATGATGTCATATGACGTAGCTCGGTTCTTCGTTAAAAACAGAGCATTGTGAAATCAAAAACCAGTCGTCGAATCATTTTCTCAGTTCATGATTTAATCGTTGACATCGTGAATATGTCATCGATTTAACTGTGGGTCTATGAGAAAACCAGGCAGGGGACCATACATAAAGTGTCACTCACATTAATGAAAATTTCCAAAAAGACTCCAACAATATAGCATATAATCACAAGAAAAAAAATTTCTGAAAATTTTCAATATTGGGGCCCACCAAGGGGGTACTCCATAAGCCACCAACTTTATCATCATTTTGTATTTACAATTTTGTAAAAACTGCTATTTTCATTCACCATTCTCTTCTTTTCATTAAACTATTGAGTGATCAAAAGTAAGAACAAAAGAAAATATATATTATTTATTTCATTTTGCACAATTTTTTTTGTCTTAAAAATCAATGCTATATTTAAACACAGGGGGAATAACTCTTGATATAAAAGAGACTGAAAATGTGGGAAAAGGGTCGATATTGGAAATATTTTTAACTGGGTTTGGACGCTTAGATTTTAAATTATTTTGTTTTAAGATAAAGATTGTGAACTTAATAATAATTTCCTACAGGCAATTATTCGGGTTTTGATTATTGGTGACACTGTGCGATTTTGAAATTGAGGAATTTTTCAAAAAAAATTGTGATTTTTTGCGACAGAGTTATTTCCCTTTGTTTCATACTTTTATAAACTATATTAGGCTACTATTTAAAAAATCAATATTTTCACTTCAAAAATGGTATGTACAATGACTGAACATTTTGGTAAAAATACTTCTGTACATGTGGATAGACCAGTAGTCTCTGAGGAGACTGTAGCTCCACTGTTCTGTTTTAACAAAGGATGAAAAAAGTAGCCAGGACAATATTAGTTGATGCATATTTTCTAGCACAATCTATTTTGTACTTTGTTAAACCATGCGACATTTTACAAAGTTCAGTTTTTGAAAAGTTGTTCTCAAAAAATGATAGTATCTGTACTTGACTCTGATGCCCATCAGCCTGATGATCCTGATCGTATGCTTTTTAAGGCTTCTGTAAATGCATCAGTAACAGTTTCTATTTTTTTTCCTCCAGCATGTAATATTTTTTATATAACAAGTGCATTAAAGCATTTTCTTGCAAGGTGCAATGCATTCAAAGGCATACTGAATAACTTCATTGGCTTTCTGTGTCACATAGTCTTTTATAGACTGCTGTACCTCATCTAATGATGTATTCAGGGTGAAGCGTAAGGGCGTGAATTTACCATCAGACAGTTTCATACTCCTGTTTAGCTTTTCTCGATAGTATGTGGGTCGTCTCCAGTAGTCACACACAGTTCCTTAGGATGACTGACTCAGACAAAACTCTGTATTCTGACTGGATTGCTCTGAAAAAGATAAGTTTTGATAAGAAATATTGTAAATGTTGAAGACGACATAATTCTGACTATAATCACACTTCAAAGACAATTTTTGACTTCCATGGAATATAAAACATAAGAGGCACATGGGCCATATGGTTCACCTAGGCACTGTGGCTAGGAAAAAAGCAGAAATCAGTTCAGTATTTTTTTCCCATACAAGTATAAACTGATTATCGATCGTGGCCTCGCCCCAGCCCTGGGGGTCATGATTTGAACAGATATGAATCTACACTACCCCACTGGCCAGGATGCTTCCCTATAAGTTTCATCTTTCCTAACACACTGTGGTTCTTAACGATGTACAACACACCTACCCCAAAATATTCCTGTCGTTTAATTTTCGCTATTTTGTATATTTAGTACATGACTATATCTACTGTGTGTATGCACATTTTGGACAAAATCGTTAGAGTGGTTTTTGGACAGGAAATTCCAAAAGTTTCCCCCCTTTAGTTGTTTATGGGAAGAGAAAATTTTTAATCAATAAACTACTTAAACCTTGATTTTCAAAAAAGCCAGGTTAGCTATAGCTGTCAAATTTCATTGACTTATTCCTTTAACCATTTAACACAGAAACAAGAAAATTAAAAAAAATGTTTTTGCAGATGTCACAGTCAAGGTCACAAGGTCATTGACCTTGGTGTCATTTGAAAGAACTTAATTAAGTAAGCATGCCAAATATGAACCCCCTATCTCCCATGGTTCAAAAGTTATGGTGAAGGTTAAAGTTAACAACAGACAGACAGATAAACAGACAAACAGACAGGACAAAAACAATATACACCTCAGATCTACCGATCTGGGTCAGTAAAAAGAAGTCTGTGTGTCAATGCTCAGTAGTAATACCCCCACTCTAATAAAAATATATGCTCTCAATCTCATTATGGGTTTGGGTGAAATAAAGGTTTTTATTTTTCATAGGAACTTCATATTTCTTGTCAAAGAATGTTCAATAAACTGTAAATGCAGAAATATTCAATGGATATTCATTTTTCATTTATTTTGTTGTTATAGGTACCAGTACTACTCAGTTTTACTTTTGGAAAAAAACAAAATTTAATGCCTGGAAACTTTTTTTAGGTGACAAATCAATGAAGTTTTACCCCTACTTAAGAAGTTTCTGCTTCTACAAAAGGATGAAAATATATCATGATATGAAAAGACAAAATTGTCATTAACTTCTCTTTCCATCCTAATTAATTTACCAACAGATATTTTATTAGTTTGAATTTTAATTTAGTCATTACATAGAGAAAATTAAGCTTAAAATATTCAAAAGTACATGACCAACATATGGTGCAGAGCAATGGATGAATACGGATAGCAACAGTTTACCTTATAGTAAACCAAATTTGTAAAAATAAACTAGATATGTACCTTCCACCCAGAGGTGTGTTGAGACAGCTGGACACTGTTCATTGTCACATTCTATTTCTCTTCAATATCCTCAGTACTAAGCTTAAAAATTCAGCTGAAATAACAAAAAATATGATTTACATCATTTACCATGTTTACATGACAATGTGATAGTCAGTAATGCAGACAAAAGTCATCTATTTTCAAAATTATAGCCCTTACTCTAGCTTCTTATACTTTAATGAATATTTATCATTTTATATATTGTATTTATATTTTAATTTATTTTCTCTTTTTATACACGAGTTGGATTTTATTTCTAAATAATTTGATCACTAGGAGTAGAATTCAGGCTTCAGAGCAATAAAACACAGATCAACTTATAAAAATCTACAGGATTTCAACCTCACTTTTACAAGAGGAACTAATTCATACGTATAGTTTAAAATAGAGTTTGATTGGCTGTTTTATTTCTCCATTCTTTTTGTTTTTGGACAAAGAGAGTATATGGGATGTGTTAATTGGGTTGTAATTTAACTGCCTATATGATTACATGAAGCCACTTTTAAAAACTTTCCACAGATTCCCTGATATAAATGAAGTAATCATTTACAAAACTGTTTATGTACTCTGATTTTTTTTTGGTAGGTACATCTGTAGTTTTGTTGTTGTGTAATTTAGCACATTGAAGACCAACTTCAAAATTTATTAGTGCTTTCTGTTGTACTTGTGCAGTAAAAATATAGAAAGATCATTTATTCATTGCTTTATAAATTTTCAATCTTAAACTAAAAGATGTTAATCTCGGAGAAATGATAAGCCTTAATCTTTTAAAATATTGCAGACAACATGCATTTCCTTATTAATAAAAAAAAAATACTCAGATTGGATGGAGGGGGGAATGGGCTTTGAGTTTTTATTAGTGTCCTGGACATTCATATAATAGGTGTTGTTTGTGGGTTATGCAATATCACATGTATACAATGTACCAACCTTGAACCTATCATCAATGATCATCCTCAATGTCCACTTTAGTGGAGTAACTTTTTCTGTGCCTTTCAGAACGATTCCTTCATAAACCTGCAATTTAATGAGAGCTGTTAGATTTTCTTGCATTTCAACAGATATCCATAATTGAATGGGATCACAGGCACCTGAGGTTACTTATTTTTCTTTGAATAAAAAATATAACCCCTACCTTAAAAAGAAAATCATTGTGCATGTGCATAGGATTCTTTGAGATCCAATATGTACACATGAGCTTTGAAGACACTTATGAATTATATTTATTTTTTAATGTACACATTGTAGTCTAGTAACTTACTCAAGTCGATGGTGTACTACACCTAGATGTGATATGATTCATAATGAAAATCATATTGATATCCTTTAGACCCTCCTATCAATTTTATTTGTATGCAGCTTGGTCAATTTGAATGTCATAGCTCTCCACTTTATTTAGCAAAATATATACGGACTGTAAATTATATGTAAATCTACATCGAATCAATATTCTCTCATAAATTACACCAGAAATTCTTAAAAATCATCTGAGGACCAATCAAAATTGTATCCATGTACATGTATAAGATAATGTTATTGTAGTGTTCAATATATATCACTTACCAACAGGTACAAGTATCCTCTCCTGTAGCCATATCTCTTCGGAAACGGGGCAATTAACTCCTCTGTCTGGTTTCTCCTTCTGGTCTCAGTGGTGCAACGGGTGTGAACATCCCCTAGAGTCTTGTACCAATAAGTACAAAGCTATTTCTGTGACTCGTTTGACATATTTTTGAAATTTACATACTCTTTTGTAACTTTGGTAAAGCAAGAGAACGCCCTGGGTATTATCACTTGATGTTGTTTTTAGGGACAGCTTGACAATGCACCAGGTGTGACAATATTTTTTTTGTCGACATGAATATATACTTTCTGTAAGTCCTCCACATGCAACAGAAGTGCATGACCTTGAAAAGTCAAATATTTCACCATGCCTGGAAGCTGCCATATTCATGCATGTACCTTATGTGTCTCATTCCCTAGAGAGTACCGTAAAGGGAGATAACTATGCTGAAACTTCATGTTTATGTCTCATGAAAGGCATTTTTAATTAATTAAACCTGTTAATTGTTTGATTTAATTTTGAACAATTATTTTTATTTATAGATCAACATTAATGAAAAATAACAATCAGTTAATAAGCAACATTTGTCTTTTGTTTATTGTGTTTATGTTAATTTTCACCCAAATTTCTCTGATAATTTAACACTGATTAACTACTCAAAAAACGACAGATTTTCTCAAAACCCAAACAATTCCTATTGCATAGAGAATTCAAACATACTTAACTTTTTAATTAATTTTGAATTTAAAAATAATAAGCGTCTTAACCCTGTTTAAAATGAAGATTTTTATGGTACCTTTACATCCGAAACGATATTTCTGTAAAAAGAGACATTTTTGACGGGTTGCTATGGCAACATTGCATGTTTGACAAGAAATCTTTTATTATCAAACATAAATTATAATCTTGAATTTTTATATTAAATAAGTAGTTTATGTTTAAATGATTGCTTTTGAGTCTAATGCTGCATTGAAATTGAATGAAATTCCCCCTTTATTTGCCCTTTCTTATGCTTTGTTTTCCTGGTTTTAATGACGGCCCTGTTACTATAAATAGAACAAGCTATCAATTTTCTCACCTCATTATTAATTATCAGTGATGTGTACCTTATCAATATTTAATGAAATAATGACATTTAAAAATACCTTAAAAATTGATTTTTTACAATTCTGCCTGGTTTTCTCATAGAACCACTGTTAAATTTAATTACATTATATCAATACTACTGTTATAAGCAAAACGAACTTAAAAATATATTACTAGTTTATCAATGGCATAAGATCTGTAAGCACTTACTGTTACAAAAGTCTCCTGTCCAATTCGATTTACATCCATGATGGCATTCTCCAGTATGGAAATCGCAAATGTTATATTTACAATATGGACTGCAGGTTTGATTACAATATGAACTGTAATAGCCATTTTTGCATGCAGAGCACGCACAGAAATTAGATCACAATTCTTTGGATTACATTGCAAACTACATGGATGCTCACATTTGGGTCCATAATAAAGTTCTTTGCATCCATAAGTGCAATATCCAGAGAATTGATTACATGTTGTATCTCGACAATTATCACTACATGCAACAGCTTTAAAAAAGTAAATTTTGTTCAAAGGTTTAACTTTAAAAATGATTTATAGTGTTAAGTACTTTTAAGAATCATATTTATCAAAACAAAAATAAATTCCATTTATTTCACTTACGACATGAACCATTAATGATACTGCAAGTAGAACATTGACAATTTTTGCAAAGCTCTCCAAATTTTCCTATGCCGCAACCTGCAGATAATATATAATGGTTAAAATTCAACAAAACTTTCATAAAAAAGTTGAGCCCACACACAAACCGTCTTACACACAAATATACCCTCATATACACCCTTACACACCCTCCCACACATACCCTCATTCACCCTCTTGCACACACTTGAATGACTGCAATATCACGCTAAAACGAGTTTTCTTACCCCAAAGGAAATTATGATATTAAAATTCATAAAAAAAAGATCAATCTTTTTTAGAAAGTATCTAAAAAGAAAAACAAAAATAGCTAGCGAGACAAAATACAGAAGAACAGAGAGACAAAAATAATACTCAATGCAAATGAGTAACAATTACCATAGACTTCTATTTCACATATTTCTAATATAGACCCTTTTATTGGATTATCTTCTGGAGCGTCATAAGAAGTCCCCACAATGATGTATCTCGCTGTGTGCCTACAAGAAATGTCTATGAAAGCTGGGGGCACATCTGGTTCTTCAGTTTCGTCCTTGTAACAGCGTATTCTTTGTGATGTAGAAGTTACATCTGCTGACGAGTTAGACACATCTAAGTAGAATTGACGACACCGGTAAGGAGGCCAATTTGCTAAAATTATATTACATAAAAGGACCAATTAATATATCGCACTGTAATATGTGCAACATAATCAAAATATCCATGAAAAATTCACTAAGACGTAACACAATCTCAAAAACATGACTACATTTAGTCGAGTACACAAAAAAAGAGCCAGCTAACTTTTCAAGCTCTACCGCCATGTGTTGTCTGTTTATGGAATCAATGACATTAAAAAGTTCAGCGCTTATGTCAAAGCTAACCACCAAAGGAAAAGATGTGCATTGAATTGCCATATTGGTAATCTCTGTTATTTCAATGGTTACCAGAATTACAATTACAATTTCTATGATGTTTTCTCCTGCAAAATTCGCTAATAATGAATGTAATAGTAGATCTTTGAAACTTCCGGTCATGGTTTTAGATGAAAACAATTTGAACTGGTCGATAATTTGTCTTTTTTAAGTTTGACATAACGAAGTGGACTGTGTTATTGAGCGTAAAGGGGAAATGTTATGTTAGCTTGATACTATTGTACAGTTTACGTATTTAACGTATAAAATAGCTCATGTCCCCTTTATATAACAGTGATTGTAATTGTGGTGGGTAGTAATATGCATTGCACCAAAGTGCTTCTTTTCGCTCTTTATTTGAATCAAACATTCTCATCGTGCAAAACAACATCTCGTTCATTGGCTGATTTTTTCAAGCTGATTGGCAGGGGATAGAGTCAAAGACACAAAGAAACACAAAAACTCGTCCACGTATTCTGTAAACTTTAACTTGTACTACAAAATAAAAGGCTATACCGATTCAATCTTATTGGCTACGCCTTCACGTACTACGATTTTATTTGACGGCAATTTTTTATTCCTTTGCGTAATACTTAGTAACCCATTGTCATGCATTTGCAGACCAGCCTTACCTTTTCATTGCAAGGGTATAATTTCAGTAAATTTTTGAAGGAATTTCAGGGGTAAAAGCGTAATCAATCATGTTTCCTATTTTGTTGTATTTACTATAACACTTTATTTTCTTTCATAACAACCGAAATCGTACATTTCTAAACAAAGTTGGGAAAAAAACTTTTTTTCGAATCGTCTATTGGCCAAAAAAAGTGTTGTAAAATACCAGTATCCTATATTAAACTCGAAAAAACCGTACACCCGTAATGAAGCATTTGGTCAATTTGTATCAAATCACTTCATTGAAGGCTTGCGTTTGCATGTTTACACAAATCGTACATAATAACACTTTATTTTATTTTATTAACACACAAATTTCTCTATCTTGTTCCAAGCAATGTTTAAATAAACAAAACTGAGCATAGAAATGGCTGTACTTATTGCAATATCATATAATAGTTTACGTAAGTAGTGCCTTCTCGTTTTCTTCTGAATCTTCGCCATACCAGTTTGCATATAACTACTAGATATATTGCGTTCGTTTACGAACTGGTCATCTATCAATTACTTTTACTAGAAGTTTTAATTTCATTTCAACAGGCCATGCTTTGTCTCTAAATTTAGACGTTCAAAGTGGATTTTAAACCAAAATATCAAAAAGGTAAAATTAATATAAGTGGCGTAATAGCGTAAATTTGTGGTAAGAAGCGGAAGAATTACGCCAAAAGCGGAAGGGTAGGCAGGTCTGCATTTGTTATTTGGGTTTTTCACTAATCAGCACTTAGGAAGAGAGCCAATGAATAAATGTATAAGTGTCACATTTAAAATCTCCTAATCTAACACGCAAGTAATTTGTTTTCACCTGTGGGGAGCCTCCATTTTTCACTGGGTTCATTTAACCCCGTTTTATACCTCAAATCACCGGACCTTTAAAATATTGGTGAGCCCGTGCTTCAGTTTGGACACGGCAGTCCAGGTAGAAAGGACGTTTTCAAAACTTCTCCAGATTTATATATTTGATTTGTATTATACACATGGCACACCATTGAGGGTATTTCAATCAGCCCTTATTTAGAATTTA